CAAACATTTACTAAAAAATATTATCGGTTGTTATTTAGATGGAGGCAGATTAATTTTTTTTAATAAGAACATACAAATCCAATGCCAGGGGTAACTACAATGAGAATTCAGTTTCAGGTTGAATGGAGGCAGATCTGAATGAGAGTTTGCAATCGATTACAAGAAAGGGGCGGAGTTTAAGGAGACTAAATGATTGGAGAAGTCTTGTTTATTTCATATGAGAGAAGTCTGTCATTTTACCAAGATGTATGACATTTTAATGCAAAATAAAATATTATTTAAAATAATAGCCTATATATCTGGGGTGTCCAAACCTGTTCCTGGAGGGCCACTGTCCTTCAGAGTTTTGCCCCAACCCTAATTAAACTCACCTGAACCAAGTAATCAAGGCCTTCAGACTCCCTAGAAACTTCCAGGTAAGGGTGTTGGAGCTAGACTGTAAATCTGACCTCCAGGAGCAGGATTGGACACCCCTGATATATATTATAAATATATTCATATTATTATTATAAAAGCCTTTAATAGCTAAAAATAAGCTTTAATGCTAGTTTCCCATTTCATTATAAGCCCAGGACTGACAGAGAGATTAATTTAGCCTGTCTAGGTTTAGCACGTATCTGTGCATCATTTTGTCATATAAACTGATCAAGGTCAGTCTTTGGACTAAAGAGTCTACCTTAAATGAACTAATTGTAGAAGCAGTCAAAAATGAATACATGTAAAGTTTCAAGGTTTTTAAAGCAGTAAACTCTGACCTGCTTGATTTATTCAACATCCTGTGACGCATATTGGAACCTAAATTCTGGCATCAGTCTTCTAGCTCTGTTGATAGTAGCAACTTGCAGGGACATGCCCTTGATATGAATTGTCAAAATGATTAAAAACACGACCGTTCACCTGAATCTGGAGCTTTTGCAGTGTGGCAGCCTCTCATCGTTATGGCCTTGTATTTGACCACAGAGAGACGGAAACCATTGTGCATCATTACACTCGTGTGTTGACAAGCAGTGCTGTGAGCCAAACATCTGCACACATCATTGAAACCTTCTAGGAGCAGAGCAAGAGTCCTGGTGCTGTCTTCACCCCTTCTCACACTGCCCAAAGATGGTACGCTCCAGTTCACAGCAATATGAGATTCCAGATTGAACCAATACCTAATGTCTGGGGGAGATTGTTGGCCTGAGGTCTGTGAAAAAAATTATATAGAAATGTCTTACATGGAAAGAATCAGATGTCTATGGGTTAACTGCTACCGAGAGAGATTCTTATAGTTCCTCCAGTCCTTGTTTTTTTTTTAGAAGTACCGCATTTTTGACAGATTGCTTTGTTTACTGTTATCTGTAGGTCATTGGGTCCTACATGAGCAATCTTTTGCTAATGCCGTTAGCATTTTGGAGCGAGCTCTTGATTTCTGATACTTTTTTTTTTTAAACTGGATGGTGGTCGACATTGATTTGCATTGTTTTGTTTTTACATTTTCTCAAGTAGTTTGACTGGATGTCTGGTCCACATTACAGCTCACTCTGGTAAAGAAAGGCCTACTTAGAAAGGAAGAGTGATCAATCACAGTTAAAAGTAAATTATGTGCAGTTAAATACAGTGCTGCAGGAATGAGTCCTTTAAACCCAGAAACAAGTTAGCATTTTTTAACTTCCGGTTCCATCGTCCTAAAGTCAGTAGGTTTTTTGAATGAGTTTTTTTTTGTTAGATGCCTAAAGGTTTCTAGCCTAAGGTTTGTATTTAACACAAGCTCAAAATATGTTCACATTTCATTCTGTCTTAAAGCACAAGTAATAGTGTCTTGAAAACAATTGTCTAAATGGGACTACAGAGGTTGTCTGGGACAATAAACATCATCATAAACATTTCTAATTAGGCACTGAACAGAATAACCATTAAAATATGTCTTATTTGACCAGGCAGACCCATTTGTTAAAAATCTGCAAATCCAATTGCGTCTTACTAGCTCTACAAATTGTTTTCCAGTCAGTATGCGTCAGACTGACTGCTATTGACTACACAACTTTTGCCCAGATTTTTGCAACGATTTGCAGTCTGGAGGAGTCAAGTCTCATTGCTGAAAGTCAGAGCCGGTCTGCAGATGTTGGGCAGTCGGAGTTTCAAAGAAAATTGTGAAAAGTGTAGACTATGATGAGCACAGACTCGTGCATCTCTTAGCAATGAGGTGCATGCTTCTCTTATGGAGACCAAGGATCGATAGATAAAAATACCAGTAAATTTTGACATTGTGGGGACATTTTTGGTCCCCATAAATCATTCAGAATGAGGTTTTTTGAAAATCTAAAAATGCAGAAAATTTGGTGTGAAGGGTAGGTTAAGGATTAGAGTAAGGGGATAGAAAATACAGTTTATACAGTATAGAAATCATTAAATCTATGGAATGTCCCTATAATGATAGGAAAACCAGCGTGTGTAGTATTTTTAAAACATTGATAGTCAATTTGGTCTCTTAGAAATTTATTATCAATATTCAGACACAAAAACCCTTTTAAAATACTAATTTCTTGAATGATGCAGGCCTAGTGTTAGCCGTGCAGTCTTTTGACACGAATAGAACAAAGCACCGATTTAAAGAGTTTTATTAGGTCAATCAAACGCTTTTCTAGATGCTTTTCTACCGAAACATGGCCGTGCACGTGGAAGTGGTCCAAGGTCCAACTGACAAATCAGAAGTCCTGGGAAAAAGGCGACAGGGGAAGAGCTCAGCGCTGTGATTTTTGTTCAGTGTCTCTTCTTCCCTTTCTCCCTCCCAATCCTGAGGCCTCAATGGTCATGCTCAACTGCTTCAACAGAGAGAGACACTCTTTTTTTGGCCCTTTTCATTCGTCTGTGCCCCTCTTTGCCTCTTCCCAGCCATTTGCCCTCTTTCAGCCCCTCTCGCCCACATCTCAACCCATAACACCCCCTGAACGTTTTTTCTTCCCCCGAGTCGCTCTTGGTTTCTCTCTTTCGCCCGCCCTCACCCCCTCTGTGTGACTGGGCTTCCTTTTTTGATTGCTGACCCCTCCTTGTGTTATTATTCAGGCCCACCATTGTATGACATGTTTCTTTTCTACGGCGCCTACAAAGAGAGCATTTGATCAAGGGGTTACGGTGCGCGGGTCGCAGAAATGCAACTACACGGTGGTAACCTTTGTTTGGGACGGCAATGGTGGGTTGACCTCATCTCTTCTAAAGCGAAAGACCCAAGCTATTCAAAGGCCCAGTCTCACTTGCTGAGCACATTCAATCGAGACCGGCCTGTCACAGATATTGCTTCACAGTTATCTGAGGCTCAGGCCTCTTTTTCTGGGAGTTCGACTGCTGGGCCAAAAACATAACAACAGCTATACGGTCCTGGAAGTATACCTCTTGAATAGACCCGATCATGCCCTTGAGGTTTCTCTCAGGCTGCTGTTGTTGTCAACTGAATAAGCCTGACTCTGAAAGAAACTGGCTCCCAATTTGGCCGACTTGTTCCTGGAGGCCTTCGACTTTAACCCACACTTGTCGTGCTCGTGTTCTTGATGCGCCCACACACATACAGAGTGATCTATGAGAGAAGGAGAATTCGACCTGTCAGCTAATGATCGCTGACTCCTTCAAAGCAAATTCGGCGTAGAAGCGCATCTCAAAGGATTCGAATCAATCACGGGCCGAATTTAAAGTTCCCACAAAAGGCGTTAGGGAGTCAATGAATCACACATCCCGAGACCCTGTTAAATCAATACTTTTACATGAATTTAATACACGCTCTAAAATAAATATTTTCATTTTGAAGTATCTTACAATCTTCCAATAAAAATATATAGTCATGTACAAACAATAAAGATGCTTTTTGATAATATCACTAAACATCATGGAATCATAATGGAATGTGTATCTGCATATGCTTGGGATCATCAGTAGGTAGCTGCCATGTTCACTGTCAGAATAAAGTGTGCAAAAGTTGTACAACAGCTTGTGACCGGGGCAGTAATCCTTACAGGGATTACTTTGTACCTGACCTATCTTTAAAGGTGCATATTAGTGCCTTCGAGGATAAAATGTACCCCTAAGCTATGCAATATATATATATATTTGAATCGTCACCATACATTTGCCGGTTTATTAATCACAGTACATGAAGACAATTGTTTTGTATTCATGTTATGTTAAGTTTTCAGAAATGTTATGTTTAGATATGCAAATGAGGCATATCCAATGAAATCCAATTATTCGCATTCATTTCTAGAACAGAAGTCTGAATATTGGATAAAGCCAAGTGTAAAATTCTTGTTTCATTTTGATGACATATTAAAGGTTTTTATAGAGTTTTTTTTTTTAATCACTCCATAAATCAGAAAATACTATCAACAGCCAAAAATATATCTATTTCAGCCATATTTTATGCATTTTAAACTTATATTTTGCATATAAATCAGGCGAATGGTGTATGAACAAACTCCTTTGTAAAAACTTTCAGAATATAGATAGGAATACAAGTATAACGTTTGGTTTATGGAAGTGGAGAAAAACTCATTTTGAGAAAACCAGCTTTAAAGATATGTGTTGTAATTGATATCTACAGATGCAAATGGATAAACTGTAATAAAATGAACACTTAAATGTGACTGTTTTATGATTTTTTTTTTACTAGTAGTCTGAAATAAAATATGTTATGGAAGCAAAACAGCCCAAAAATCAAAAAAATTGACCAGTGCCTGAAAAAAACAATGGTTTTGCCTCTAGTGTCTTAATTCTGCCCCAGTGACGAGCTGTTGTACCCCTGAAGATAGAATTTTTGCACATTTTTCTGAGAGTGTTTGTGTGTCGTGTGTTCTTTTGTCTTGCTTCATTCCCAGAGATGCGTTGCTCATTATTACAAGGCTTACAGTGTCCTTTGTTCAGTCAACAGTTCAGTAATTGTCCCAAAACAAACTGTTCTTGGTACTGCGATTCATCTCAGATCTGAACCTGTGCAGACTCCTTCATTTTTACACAACATCAGTTCGGCGTGATGTCCAGTAACTCTGGATGCACATAGATTAGATAAACTCGAATTAAGAGAGCACTCCGGTATAAGATACGATTCTGTCCTCAATTCACGCTTGTGCGCTGATGGTGCTTAGTCCTCTTGTTTGGGGGATATGGGATTAAATCAAAAGGCTTCTGTTCTGTTAACAGGTGTCCTCGAGGAAGACGTTTCATGAAATGGGCCTCTCGCTGATGCTGCCGGGTCTGCGTGGCTTTCCTGGGTCGACCCTTACGTGTAAAAGCCATGTACCAGCCTTTGTACTTGGCGTTCTGCAAAGCCGTGTAGTTATTTTCCAGAACAATCTCGGTGAATATGCAGTCCCTTCCACGGCCCTTCCTCTGGCAACAAAAAGAGACAAACAGCGGAGGACTGAAATGACAAACTCGGAAATCTGCTGTTCAAGCCTGAGAGATTTATGAGGCTCAGTTTTGTTCTCAGGGCATGATGGGTTTACCTGTGATATCATTATTGCCATTCGAACCAATTTAGTTGTCTATATTTCTTAACGTATGATTTCAACAACATAATTTTGCAGAATAATTCAACATAAACACACCAGATGTTTAATTACTTAAACTCACCCGTCCAGTAAGTGTGCCTCTCTTGTTCATGCAAATGTAGTATCCTGTTTTCGCTCCTCTGATTCGAACCCGGCTTCCAAATGTGTCGGTTTCCACAACAAGTTTAGCTGGAATTGTTAAACCATTGCAAAGTCTGTTCATTTTCCACTTTTAGGTGATATGTATGCTTTTGATTGTATATTGGAGAGTTTTGGGATTTGCATTGTTGTAAAGTAGTCTGTGCTGAAAAAGCCAATATTTAGTCTAGATGTGTGAATGGGTGTGTGTTAGGCCAAGACTACAAAGAGTAAGAGTAACAAAGAAGGGTATAAACCGATGACGCTGACCTCACCTCTCTTCATAAACGTACTCATACGTTGAGTTGTAAAGCTATGAAAATTCCTCATAAAATGACCCTCCAAAAAAGTGGGCAAAGTGGATGGACTGCACGAGTGGAAAGATGGCTAGACGCGCAGAAATACTTCGGTGACAGGAATTCGTTCCCAGCGGACAGGATTCTAACCACTGTTTTGTTTGGAGAAGAAGTGCCGCAGCTCACTTAAAACAGGTGCCTTACTGAATAGCTTTAAAATTACATTGAGTTCAAATAAAAACAAGATTGACTTTTCATTGCCTATTTGCAGCGTCACTGCACACTATGAATCATATGTCAACCATCCATTTAGCAAAGAAAAAATACACATATAATCTTGGAGCGAATAGCTCTCGACAAGTGATTGAAACTTCAGATCATCATCTTGCCTCACACATAATATAGGAACATTTGCAATAACCATATTTGTTTAGGAAGAGATGAAAGATGAAAACTAATGATGCTAGAAAAGGTTAGAAAATTGCATGTCATATTTCTGTCCTACAACTCTTTATTATATGGAGAACTATTCAGGAAATGTTAAGACGGCCGAGGTAAGATGACTACTGATGTGTTTTCCAGAACCAAAACGGGGTTCTCTTGAGATTCCCAAACTCATAACAATATAGAATCCATTTCAAACTATGGAGGTTACTTTTTGGCAATGACATTTACTGGATTTTCTGAAGTAATACCTTCAACTGACATGTTTTGTCCTGTTGTTTCAAGCTGTAAAATCATGCAGAAAAGTGTGTTTGCAAAGACTGTGACTTGCCATGAATATCTCCATCATCGCCATTGGCGTTGACCCTCTTATTGCCCAGGACTTGTACATGTTTACCACTCGTCCGGCTATAGAGTTGATAAGTCCTTGTTAATCTCCGGCTCATCCTGTCCGACAGACGACTCTGCTCCGTTACATGGTGCTTAAAATTTGGTACAGAGACGGATTGCATTGTCATCTATGAAAATGTGACAGAAGAACATACAGATTTGTGGTGATGTATATAAGAACAACTCTTTTTAGGGACAATAAAGGTGACACTGTTTCTCTTCAGATTCAAATCATTCTTTTTGCAGCGATGGTTGGCACTCTGAGGGCAAGTGCCCCGTCCACACTCTGAATGACATGCCAATGAGGGGTCGACCAACACTGATCTTTCACCCCGTCTCTTTGGGCCCATTCTCATAACGATTTTCTTTTGTAAGTCAGCTATACGCCGTGCCCACATGTTAGAGCCATTACCTTTAAAGTGAGGGGTTTACGTCTTTTCAAGATGTTTGCCAATTTGCCAATGACTCTATTAATAATGAGTTGTTTGCACGGTTATAACACATTTACTGCACACATATAACAGTAAGAGTAAAGGTTTTATCGCTTTCAGTGTGTCCTGCTTATATTTGACTGGAAAATATTCGAATGGGAAGACTGAGTAGTGTTGTAACACTTTTTTTTTTTTACTTAATTGCACTATTCCTATATTTATTTACAGAATTTTATACATTTATGAATTATTCCTAAACTGTAAATATTATTGTCAGATTTAAAAAAAAGTGTTGCTTATAGGTGGGATGTAACACAAATAGAAACGGGATTTTGCTATGGATGGAAACGTATTAAACATAAAAGAAACATTTAATTGAACACAGCACATAAAATATATGATAACAACTCTTGAGGTGTGTTTGTCACTCTCACATTTATCACCCCACTGTCCTATTTTGTTGATTTTGCATGCACTGAAAAGTCGTGTCACAATCCTCCTTCTCTGGTCGGAAATGATATTTATATTTTAACATGAAAAGAAAAAGTTGTGGACGTTACAGGGCTGTATATAATTAAAGAAAACAGCCTGCTGCTTCAGATGAAATCAGTTCTGTCTTTTAACATCCACCAACACTATCGCTAAATTTATAAACCAGATCTAAACATTTTACTTTCTTTCTTTCAATCTTCCTTTTTTTTTTTTTTTTTACAGAGACACTTACAAATTATACAGTCTCCTGAAGGGGTTGGTTGTCATGTATGATGGTGATTTCAACCCTTAACTCATTTCTAATTGGTTAAACCGATTTTACACTCTATTACACATAACATAGTCCCATCAGTTTATCTATTAGATTGAGATGCTTGATTGCAAACACAAAATGCAGAAGACTTACCTGAGTGTAAAAACACAGAGTCATAAATTGAAGTAATCTGAAATGCAAAAAAAACCCAGTTAATTACGGAATTCTTTTTTTTTTAAACATAAAAATAACTCTTCAGCACAAGTCTATATTAAGTGTACTTACAGGTAACCTAACCTTGATGATTTCAGCCTCATTGTGAGATTTCCAAGCCCTGTCTGATTATTATCCGAAACAATAAGTTCTTCATTAATTCCTCTGTGCGTGTATATTATTGTGTGAGGATGCTCGGTCCATCGGACGTTTAGCAAAAATAACAATAAACTGAGTGACAGGATACTGGTATCGACAGTGATTTATTCATCCGCTGAGTCCATGTCAAATTAATCCGTCACGTAACTTTTATTCCTTAGAGTTCAAGCGCATTACAGTGACTCTTCTCACACACATAATTCATGATCGATGTCCGATTACAGGCGAAGATACGAAAAATAAAACATTCTTCATAGAAAATCAGAGACAACATCCGGCAGCGTGCGCACACCCGTCTTGAGACTTTGCATTATGTTTCCTCGCGGTATCTCCAGCGCTTATGTAAATGTTACTGGAAGAGTCTGAAGTCACATGTAGGTTGATAAACTGTGATGTTTCCCTGGCGAGAAGCTGAGAGCAGAAGCCTCACTGTGTTTCTCTCCACTTTCAAACTCCCAATGTCAAACCCACCCTTCACGTGCAGTCTGACTCCCGTTACCTCCACAGACGCGCCATCCCACCCCTCAACATTTAAACACCTTCACTGAGGGAGAAAGACATTTCGTTTAGCCTGAACAATACTAGAAGAGCTTATAAAGTTAAAGATACACTCACAAAACTGACTGGATTTAACCCCCTATTCTAGTCACAATGGTTTTTAACAATAAAACAAACTTCAAGGCTACATGTTACATGTTTTTGTATGTAGGCTATGTATATATATATACACATACAGGTTTGTTTTTGTGAAAAGTGGGGACATCCCATAGGCGTAATGGTTTTTATACTGTACAGACCGTATATTCTATTGCCCTTTACCAACCCTACACCTAAACCTACCCCTTACAGGAAACTTTGTGCTATTTCAGATTTTCAGTACACTCCATTCTGTGTGATTTATAAGTGTTTTGAAAAGTGGGGACATGGGGTAATGTCCTGAAAAGTCATCTTCTCCTTGAAATACCTATGCCATACCTTTGTCATTATACAAATGTATGTCCTCATTTGTCACAAAAACGTGCACGCACACACACACACACACACACACACACACGTGTGTAATTATCAATAGGATGGGACTTTATTTTACACTTTAAAACAACTTTTGACCCATTTACGTTTGAATAATAGTCTGAAAAGAGTTGATGAATTTTAAGTTTGTCATAATGCACACACAACTATTTAAGACATATTTGATGTTATTTAAATATGTAAATGGCCTTTTATTCATGTAGTCTATTATAAAGTTTGCTCTGTCTCATAGGCCTATACATCATGAAATCAAACCCAAGTGATTAATTCACATTAAAAACTGTATTAAATGAAACAAAGTGAAACTCTTCCCTCCATATTTCCAAAGTAATAAAAATATTAATACAACTTAAATTGTTATTTGTTTCCAGTTACAATTCTAGCAAGAAATAAAACATACTTTCACTTTTTTGAAACTTTATTAGAAAAGATAAGCTTCTAATAGCTTTCAGACACACTCTCTCTGTTTAAAACTAGATTAAAGACACATCTCTTTGGCCAAGCATTCAAATAATGCATCTCATAATCTTTTACTGGCGTTATATCTGATCAAATGCATATTATTATTATTTAGTTTGGGTTAAACACATCAATTTTGCTTGGTTGGAACAGCAGCTACGCTGATTATGTCTCTATTTGTTTCTCTGTTTTTTGCCACGGCTAGGATTTACACAAGCTTCAGTCTGGATCCAGAACATCTGAGAAGAGATGATGCTAACCCCTCAGAGGATCTCAGATGATGCCAACCCTGAAACAACATACAGAACTACCATATTTTGCTATAAGTTTGATTGCATCATATAATAATTGCTGTTAATATTATTCATCGTCTGTTTTATTACGTCTTATATTGATTTTTCTGTACTGCTGGTTCGTCTGGTCAGAGGAGAACTGGCCCCCCGACTGAGCCTGGTTTCTCCCAAGGTTTTTTCTCCATTCTGTCACCGATGGAGTTTTGGTTCCTTGTCGCTGTCGCCTCTGGCTTCCTTAGTTGGGGACACTTCATTTCCAGCGTTATCGTTGACTTGATTGCAAATGATTGCAAAGATACTATTTAAACTGAACTGAGCTGGATGATGACATCACTGAATTCAATGATGAACTGTCTTTTAACTGAAAAATTATTGTTTCGATTGTCATTTTGCATTATTGACACTATTTTCCTAATTAATGCTGTTCAGTTGCTTTGACACAATCTGTATTGTTAAAAGCGCTATATAAATAAAGGTGACTTGACTTGACAAGCTATTTTTATTTAGCTATCCAATGATTAACACGCATTTGCTCACTAAAAATGATTATAAGAGTGTTAATTAAAAGAGGAATCACAGCACCTACAAAAATCTAATAATAATCTTCATCATTGAAAATATATATTGATTTTTTTTTTTTTTGCAATGTAGTTAATATTACCTGAATAACATTTTAACATCATGACAGACTTAATACTCATCAAGTACTGGTTTAAGTACAGCTCTCAACCAGCCCAAACCAAAGAAATATATAACCCAACCCCTAATAGGAATTTTTGTAAAAAAAAAAATCTCCCACAAGAAAAAGGGGAAAATTGCAAATATTCTGATATCCACTCCAGAACATATGCAGCTACATTAAGCTATTCCCTGGCTGCCTGTAAGATTTTGCCTCACTGTGCCTTTGTGGTGACCCTCATTTTTTTTCATTCACACACTGCATGTGAAAGTAATATATGCTCCACAAGAGTTCTTAACATATAATGGCTAGAAATGTGCTGTCAAATACTCCCAACAGCTTAGTTAACTTTGATACATTAGCGTATTACATAGCGTATATTTCTGCTTGATAATGTAATCTGTCGATTTCATATCATGATCCCAATTGTATGCAATAAAATCAGCATGCATAATTCAATGCTGATCTGTCACAAAGCTGTAAATGTCCTTGAGGATCAATGGACTGGAATCCAATGGTGTGTCTCAATTGTATATTGAGATGTTTTCATCTGCTAGTGGGATTTTTTTTTTCCTTCACATTCTCTACTCTAGCATTCAATATGCTGCAATGACCATAACACGGATCACTGCAAGTACCACCAATTTCAAACTGAGACTATAATTCCCATGCATGACTCAAACCCCAAAAAAGAACCATTCTCACACCTTTGAGCACACATAGGAGCGACAAACCAGCTGCTAAGCAGCATAGAAAATGTCATTATCGGTATTGGTTTAATTCCATCCCGTAAATCACTCATATCAGTCTGCGTGCTGGCTTAGAGGGTGAGAATGTACCTGATTGATTAGATCCAGAGGGAGACGGCCACGGGTGATTTTGCCACCTGGAATGATTCAGTGCAATAGTTAGTCAGGTCCTCTCTCAGATATTACACTGAATTTGTGTGTTGGAAACATTTGTTCAGGTCGTGTCTTGGATTTTAATGTGTTGCTGCAATAAAAATATGTTGAGGTCAAGAGCACTGACAGTGCTCATTTGAGAAACTTTTGGAGCAGCTCTTTGGTGCAGATTTACTAACTTAATTTAGCTAACAATATGACTCAAATGACAAATGTCCTGACTGATTTCCATTCAATTTATTGATAACATTTTACAACAAGGTCTCATTGACTTACTACATTAGTTATTGACAACATAACACACATATAGCATAATCAGCAGAAATTTGATTTCCCAGCTGTTTTATAGCTAAAATTATCCTTATGTACAAAGAAAATTTGACAAGACTTAGATCAGCTATGTGTAATGACACTATACTACTTTCACTCGTTTCCTACTTCAGTATATTACAAATTGTATATATTGTTTTTCCACAAAATAATGATATATTGCTGGGAAAGTCACCTCATAAGACCTCTTTCAACAATTACATTTATTCTGCAGTACATTCACTGACTTGACTCACTATTCACAATTGTTTTAACATTCTCTGTGTTTTCTTGGCTTTTGAGACCTCACCTTAACACATGACTTGTATTCTTATCTACACACATTACAGTATGTTTATTTTATTGTTATTCACTTTTACTAGACATAACTGCCTCCTTCTAATTGTTAAACTGGAACCCATAAGTTGTATATATAACAGAACACAGTGTCTCCTTTATTTGACCCTGTCTTATTTCATAGCTTTTAAACACCATCTACAACAATGTAATATGTTCAGGGTGAGAAGCTTGTTTTCTTTCTTGTTCTCTGTATAACTCTGTGTGGTCAAACAGCCAAAATAATTCAGCAGTGGTTAACCAAGGGTCATGCTTTTGTCAAATTTGAGGAAACCCAAGGGTGCATTTTAATATCACAGCCATGTTTTAATCCAAACTTTTTTCTTCCCATAGACTGTCTTTATTACATAGTTGTATTACCCCTGTTGCTTAACCAGTTCTGGTCCTGGTCTGCCATCTGATGTCTGGTCATTGAGTGGTTGATGCTCTTCCAAACATTGTCCCTGTCCTTCTAAATAGCCGCAGGAAAATAAAAGTGAGAGACAGACTGAAACAAGAACTCTGGCACGGGGATCTCTGGTTATTCTTAGAGGAAGAGGGCAATGAGTAAATGTCTGAAGCAGCTAATATGAGCCCACTCCATTAAGTAAAGTATTATTCACTCCAGTTGATGCCAAGCACAAAAATACACATGACTGTGAGACAGAGAGAGAGAAAGAGAGACAGAAAGAGAGAGTGGTGGAAAGGTAGACACCATGGAGGAAAATAAAACGGAATGTGCCTGAAAGTGGAAACAAAGTTGGCAGTAGATCACAGGTGTCATCCAGTAACACCAATCACCTTATACGCTTGTGGATGATACATGCTGTCGGAGACGGTTCTAAACACTGGATTCAGCTGTGATTGTGCTGTAACTGCCTGGATAGCAGACATGTGTTAATGGTTTTAGCACAAGCAAATCTAAGCTCTGTGACCAATAAACGTTTAT